GTGAAGTAGGGACTAGGGCTTCTCTCCTGTCTCTAGATTAAGGCAGTTATCCCTCCATGGGGGATGTGTTCGCAAACATAGACACAGTTTTTAAATTAAAGTATTTTAAACAGACAGAAAATAAAGAAAGGGGAATTCACAGTGTATACATTTTATACTGTTTGGTTTTTTAGATATGTGAATATAATATCTACTTAATGACACAAAATTATGTTAAATGCAATAATACGTAAAAGTAGGAGCACTTTTTAAAAAGTCTGTTCTTAGCAACAAGGCTCTACTGCCTTCCATTCAAAAAAGTTAGCGGAATTTAGACTATAAGGCCAAAATAATTATAAACTAAGGCATATTCTCCTTAACAGGGAATAGCCAAAGGGGATAAGGGAGCTGAGGAGATGAGGGAGAGGAGAGTTAACCAAAATCAAAGGTGGGTATTCCCATATTCCCAATATATGAAGGGAGATATCCAATATATCTAAGCAAAGCTGTTTCTAGAAGCAAGATACTAAACAAGAACCCAAGTGCCAGATGTGGGACACCTCCATAGGAGTTGTTGGTCAGCATAGCCCCCAGAGCCCTCAAAATAGAAGCTTTTGCTTTTTTTTGCATGCTGTCTACTAGAACTAGATGACAAAACTCTATTGTTGAAGATGTCACATGTCATGGCTGCAAGGAATTGAGGAAATTAGTTAGAATTGAGTTACTAGCTAGCTTCCAAAGTATCAAGAAGTGCTATATGTGCTTCTAGTCTTGCGCAGGAAAGAACTCTATAAACTACAACACAAATCTACCGGACAAAATGTATCTACATGTGCAGTGATGCCATATGTGTGTGTGTATATATATATATATATATATATCAATCACACTGCTACACCCATAGATCAGTGCATCAGTCAACCCTCATTAGAAAGCTTCTTCTTGAAGTAAATAGAGATTAACATGGAGACCTACAACCGGACAACTGCAGAGAGTACGGGATTTGGGAGCTATCAGTTCTAAAGGGCATGGCTTTGTCAACCTCCTACTTCTGACTGCCCTCATGGCTCAGGGAGCTATGGGGAAGAGGTAAAAAGGCCTGTAATAATCAGAGGTGATGGGTGACTCCAGAAACAACGAGACTGCACATGTGAATTCACAGACAGATGGGTCATAGCACTGAGGAGGAAATGGGCATAGGGTGCTACCCTTAATAAAGCTATTTGCAAATAATACCCATTGACAAAGGGAAAATCAGTTTTCTCAAATGGAGTGTCACTGGGTGGGCCCCATTCTCAGGAGTAGTTGGTCATCACACACACACACACACACACACACACACACACACACACACACACCACCACCAACAACAACAACAACAACAACAACAACAACAAAAAACTCTACATTCTTTTTTGTTTGTTTTTGTTGTTGTTTTTCATTTTCTGGGTGGGTAGGGTTAATGAGGTTCTGTGAAAAGTTGGGAGAAGAGAAAGTATGATCCAAATATATTGTATGAGAAACTTTAATTAGTAAGGAAAGCCTAAGTGTTAGAAGTTCATAGATCGTGTGAAGGCAATTACTATTGATGGTTAGCTAAATAGACAAAATGTCAATGTGTTTGAAGTATCTGTTTATACTCTTACACAGCCCTGATAAGAGGAGCTTACTTGCAGTGAATGGCAGTGAACGCATGGACTCATAGACAAGATAGGGAGAGTAGAAAGCGGGCTTGGCCCTAAGCAAGTCATTTATCCTAATCCTTGTGAGACTGTGGGAACAATGTAGAAGAGCAGATGAAGAGAAGAGCTGAAAGCTAGGAGCGGGCAAGCAAAATCCCATCCTTTAGACACAGTACTCACAATGTGGTCATAACTCCCAGAAGTTGAGACGACCTGCACAAGACAACACTCAGCTGTCAGTCACAGACTGGGGAGTGGTTTCGGGGGTTATGCTCCTTCCTGCTGAATTGTGGGCAGCCCACCTTCAGTTGCGTAACCACTGGTGTACTCACCACATTCCACTGGATAGTTCCAGTCCCAACGCAACACAGAAGGCCCTGGCACAAACCCAGAGGGACACAAACAAATGAGAAGACATAAACACGGGGAAGAAATTGTCCAGGAAGGAGGAGTTTTGCAGGAAGGGGTGAGAACAATCAGAATTCATTATATACAGGTGTGAAGATGCCGGAGAAAAAAATTCAATTAAAAAAAAAAAAAAATGTGGGCGAGGGTGGCGCACTCCTTTAATCCCGGCGCTCAGGAAGCAGAGGCAGGCGAATCTGTGTGAGTTTGAGTTCAGCCTGGTCTGCAAAGGTACACAGAGAAACCCTGTCTCCAAACCATCCCCCTCAACAATAAAGGGCATGAAGCTGAGAAGGTCAAAATGTCCAGGACAAACTGAGATGAACAGCGCGATTCTGAAAGAAGAGTTGAAAAGCCTGTGTACATTGTGGGTAAAAGTGAAGCTTTGTCCCTGGAGCAAGGCTGGTCTCAGAAGGCATGCCTGTTTTGTGAGGCAAGTCGATTTACGTCAAGTTTTTATTGTTTTGTTCTATTTCAAAAGGTATTTCATTAGGAATACTGAAATTGAAATGAAATATATTAGTAAAAATATAATTGCCTTATTAATACTGAATCGCACAAGGGGAGTTTTCACCCTTTCTATTAAGCTTTTGTTTAAAATTTTAGTACTAGTCCAGAACTACTTGAAAGGAATTCTTTGCAATTGCTTGTTTTACAAGGTGGCAGCCTGTCACGAAGACTCTCAAGAATCCTGCATGTGATAAAAACAGCTTTCAACACATATTTCCTACTCTTCAAACCAGGGCTGCAATTTAATGCTTACATTCCCTTATTATATATTTTTACCAATAGGAGATATTTTTTTTTGTCATTCTTTTTTAATCATGGCACTTGCTAGCCAAAGCTTTTATTTTACATAATGTGCATTACTACTTGAAATCCTTTCCCCTAGTTATAAAACACCGGACCTCAGAGGCCTGCCCCACCCACATGAAGCACAGGAAACCAGTTCCAAGGCCTGATTCAACTCGCCAGAGAATATTAATGGCTCACTATAGGAAACATTCCATAATCAGTATGTAAGTTCATATTTACTGCACAGCACAGCGGCAGTGGAGAAAATAGTATGTTCATTTATAGTTTTCTCCTCTTTAATTAATGTGTTTGCTTGCTTGCTTGCTTGCTCATAGGCAGGGCCTCACATTGTAGCCTTGGAATCTAGGTTTTACTGCTCTAACCTCCTGAGTGCTGGCTTTGCAGGTGTGCACCACTACAGCTGACTCTAGACCCAGTTTATGAACAATTTCTCCATCTAGTGGCTTATTTATTTCTTTATCAAAATAATGATTCACATCCAGCTATACAATAGGCTCTATGGGGCTGAATTTCCATAACTCACTGAAAAAGAATAAAGAAGCTGGTGCATTGGCCTCTCTGCAGCTACTCTGAGTTTGCTTAGCTGAGGGGGAGGACCCAGGAGGTCACTCTGGTCGGGGAATCTTCGCAAGCTTGATCCAGATCTAGATTTTTATCACTCAGATGGCCACATCTGCTCTGCTAACTGTTAGCAAGAATGAAGTGGAAGCTTGTGGGATTGGGTCTGAAAAATGAAAAAGCAAAATGAAATGAAAATGAAAATCTCTGTATTTCACGAACCAGGATCTTTAAAACTTTGCCAGACTTTAAGTCTTTACTGAAGAATTGAGTAATTCAGGCCTGCTGTTTCCTTTATAGTAATACCTCCTTGGTGTAGTGCAAGGAGAAGCTATTAAGGCTGTTAAAAAAACAAACAAAAACAAAAAGCATCCATCTTACCTGACCACACTCTAGGCTCTTTGTGCAATTCTGATGCTTGGGTAACACCCAGGAATCAGCATTTCAACAGTACTTCAGGCATTTTTGGGCCATCTGTTGGAAAAGTGCACAAAATAATCTTGATCATCTAGTCCTATTAAACCAGACTTTTTAGTCAATGATAGGCCTCTATGTTGTTTCTTGCAGTATTGCTGGTTGGTCTAAGTGAGGAGTTTCATGATGCTGGGCAACTTTTTTGTCTGATCTTAGTTGCAGTGTTATAAACGCAAAGGCTTATTCCATCACTGAGAGGCACTTGGCAGCCTCTCTGAAAAGTCTGACAAATGACTGAATAGAAAAGGATTCTCGCTCTCCCTTGGGTGCCCTTCATTCCTTCAGATTTGTTGTTACTGTGCCATGCATTGATGTTTTGCATGTTGATAATGTGTTTTGTTTTTCCATCTATGCTTCTCCAGTGCTTTTATTCAAAGTCAGGTGTAAATGATACTAACCCTGCTCTTAGAAGTGAAAAGAGTCTATCACCTGAATTCCCACTTATTTAAAGTGCATCTGTTTCTTACTGAATTTACTACTCCCAGTTGTTCAAAAATATCTATGCTTATGCCTGTACATTTTATCTTTTATTGGACTCTGATTATGTTTTGCTATTGTATCTCAAATAAGAAAACTGTGTTTGGCTTTAAAAGCACTCACTAGTTTAATGAGACAATGAACACAGTTTGTTGCATTATAGTAAACCATATCCTTGTGTAAATACTCACTAAAAACATACTTGTTAAGCATCCAGTATTTATCCTGAGGCCTGCTAGATTCTGTGTAGGCTTAGTGTCATGAAAGTGAAACATCTTCTTGGCCCTTCATGTTGTTGTGCGAATCATTTTTCATAACTAGGTAAATGTTTTCTTAAATGTTTGTGATGGCAATAAACCAACCAAAAAGACTCAAAACCAGGAAGATATACATCAGTGCATTCATTGGCGTTCTTTATCCAGTGTAGAAATATTCTCCTTTTCTTTTTAATGCTTCTAACTTTTGTTCTTTTTTTCTTTCTCTCTTAAGGTATGCGTGTCGAGCATAAACAAACAAGGAAAGACACTAGAACTAAGTTTTGAAAACCAAGAGTAGACCAGCACACAAGGTTGAAATGATTTGCTTCTTTTCTCTTTGTTCTTATTTCAGATGATGGGAAATTGTCCTTTGAGGAATTTAAAGCGTATTTTGCAGATGGAGTTCTCAGTGGAGAAGAACTACATGAGCTCTTCCACACCATTGATACTCACAATACCAAGTAAGGAATATTTCTTACCAGCCACTCTGTAAATGGGGTGAAGAGAGTGTGAATGAGTCATGCAAAGACATGCAGAGGGTACATTCTACAATGTTTAATTCTGAAATATTCTTTCCTAAAAATGCAAATTGTCTAAAAAATTCTTTCAAATAAATCTTCTACATTAGATTTAGGTTGTACCCTCTTTATAGAATATCAAAACAAAGAGGACATGATAAACATATTTATTAATACATAAGTAAAATCTTGTCCATCTTTGGCATAATCTAAACTTTTTTTGTTTGAAAATTGCCCTTTGGATATTATTATATTGGTCTGTTGAGATAAAAAAAATACTGCAGTTATAAACTGAAAATCACTGCTACCTGAGAGCTATAGGTAATGGAGGGCACAGAATAGCTCTGGAGAGTTGATATATAGGATGATCAATTAATGTCATTTATTTCGCATGTGGGCCTCTCTTTTGGAGTAGGAAGATTTTGTATGTATCCCCCCATGCTGAAAATATAAGGTAATGAGGACTTTAGGATGTAGATCAACAGAAATATACTGCCTGCTTAAGGTTACTGAACCAAACCATATTATTTTTCACAGTAACAATTATAGAAGTCTCATACAAAAGAGAATGGATTCACACATGCCTGGAGACCTGCCATGGTACCTGCTGCCTGAACAATCACATTCTGCTTTAGGCAAAGCACTGACATGGTTCCAGGCAGTAAGCCAATCTGCTCAGACAATGCTCTGCAGCTGTACCTATGAACAGACATCTTCTGGAGGCAAACTCTAAAAAATTAAAATATTACATTCACTTTACTCCCCTGGTTGAATATTTTTAAAACAATCAGTTAGTATGTTTCTACAATTCAACAAGACTTTTAAGTTGCCTTGACAATGCCTTAAGTCTTTTGTTGTTAGAAATAGTATTAGACTCAGTATCTGATAATTTCATCATATTATCAAAAATTCTGTGATTGATGCATTCATAGTACACTTGGGGATTGCAAAGAAGGGATAGGTCAGTGTTTCTGGAGAACTGGAATATGATAAAATAGAAACTGCTTAGGTAAAGAAATGCAGGAAAGTGGGAAGAACATTTCAATTTAGAAAAGGTGTGCTCCAACAAATATATGGGAGACACAAATTAGACTTGGTGTTTTCTTTTTTCTTCCTTTCCGGGGAAGGGAAGGCATAAGAGTTGGGGGAGTGGGCCTAAGAAGACTACTAAGATGGTGTGATTGGGGTGAAATTCCCAAATAGTAAAAAAAAAAAAAAAAAACACTATGTTGGAAATAAAATAGATATTCACAAAAGAAAAGGCATGGAGAAAGTTCTGGATGCATGAGTTGAGGAAGAGTCACTCTGTTACTGAAGTGTTAACTACACAGCTAAAAGTATAGGGACATTAACAGAGTAAAGAATGGCCTGGGTGAGAAGTAATTTATATCCTGAGTTCTTAAAAGTACTTTACCTTTATACAAGGCAAAAGTGACCTAGACAAGAACTCCAGCAATGTCTTCTAGGTCACTGTGGTTCCGGTGAGAAACAGCTAAAACAATAGGGATGGAGGAAGACTGCAGATCTTAGGTAACCTTTAAGTGGATGCTGAGGAAACAGAGCATCCATGCACAGAAAGAAGCCATTGGGAGAAAGGATGCAGAGGAGGCAGAGGCTCTCTTTGTGTCTTGGACATCCCGGTGGAAGTTGATATGCTAACATTCCATTAAACATACTGTTGAGTTCCTCCTTATTATGTTAAGTTTTAAAAATATCTGGATTTGGAACATTTATTGAGATTTCTAGTTTTAGAATTTGATGTCATGAATACTTTTCAATGCATATTTACTCAAGTTAAAGAGAAAGTTTTTCTTGGTTTTGTTTGATTTTGCCATTTTATTTAGGATTTTCATAGTTCGTATTACTTAGTATACATCTAAGATTCCTTAGTACCCAAAATTGAGATGTGTAATGATTTACAGAAGTCTAAAGAAGTGTATATTAAGCCCAGCGATGGTGGAACACACCTTTAATCCCAGCACTTGGGAGGCAAAGGCAGGCAGATCTCTGTGAGTTCGAGGCCAGCCTGATCTACAAGAGTGAGTTCCAGAACAGCCTCCAAAGCCACAGAGAAACCCTGTCTCCAAAAACAAACAAAAAAGTGTATATCATTGCTTGCTATCATATGTACTAGTAACAACCGTGTTTTCTAGTATGATTATAATTAAGTTAAAATTAAAAATATTAGAGACCTCTGAATTATATTCATGAAATTCCTTCTTAAAACAGGTTGTCAGTGTCAAGCTTTGATCTTTTACAAAGATTAATTCCACCTTCAACATAGAAATTCCAGAGATTTATTTTAAGGAAAAAAAAACTTTTATCTTTCATGATCCAAGTTTGTGCTCTATATGCCAATTATTTTTCTTTTTCTATCCCCTTTCTCGGGACATACATCATCTTCCCAAATACTGATGCTGCCCAACAACCAAAGCTGCTCTAATTTAATCATGAGCACAGCCTGGGCCACAAGAAGCCAATTAAGCCAATTAACTCTCTCCACTTACAGAAGCTCCCTGGTCCTTTTCCCTCTCAGTGTCTAGTAGTTGAATGTTTCTGGCCCATAAGAGCAGTCTTTTAGAGAAGTTTAATTACAGCTTGTATTTAAAATCAGTAAAATTAATCTATATTAAGTATCAAAGTTAGATAAATTATTTCTTATAAAAGGGATACCCTAGTTGAGAGAATGTTTTAATTCATTTTCAAGCCAACCTATTAACCATTGCCCCTTGTTTTTTAAGGAAAGTGCCTCATATTCACCGTCCATGACAGTGCATGAGCATGAGTTCAGTGCTCAAAAAAGCTCATCCTAAAGTTAATCCCATTCAGCATTCTGTTTGTGTTTGATGCTATGTTAGCCTTCAAGTATAGTGAATGATTTCCTCATGCATCTAACCTCAACATTTTGCTCAACATAGAGATTTTAAAAGTCAAAAGAACCCCCTGAGTGGAAGAAGAGAAATTTGAAGGCATCATATGTTCAACTCTGTCGCTTTTTTAAATTAATATTTTTAATTGATAGGGCTTTATTTTATTAGGTATGAACACTTGGAATGTTTTTCTTTCTGGATTATTATTGCATAGAGTGATTCATGGAGTATGTAAAAATGATATTTGAACTCGATGGTCTGATGAAGAGAAGATGGTGAAATTAAAAACATTATTAACAAAGAACAGCATTACTGAATACTAATTTCTAAAAGGAAGTGTGAACAAGCCAATATTTCAAAATAAATTAAAATTTTCACTTCCATCTTATTAAAATCTATATTTTCAATCTCCATGTTAACTGCCTTTTTTCTAGGCATATATACCCAGTCTTTTTTCTTTAAGAAAGAAAAAAAGTGTTAATCTCCCAATGATTTCTGTTAGCTATCTTTATTACAACCCTCCAAGCCCCAGTAATTGTTTTCTAGTCACTTGCTTGTTTTCTCACATTCTAAGATAATAAGACTTAAACTAAACCTATAGTTAGGTGCTCCTAAATGAAGACCTGCACTCCGGGGTAAGATTGTGAGGTCAGGGAGAGACTTTCACAGCTTACAGAGAGTACTTTCACTCTTTGGAAAGACAGCATGGGTGCATTTTCCATCAGTTAGATGAAAATGAGAAAATTTAGCATAAATCTTGAGGTATTAGTCATAGCAGAAAGTCTCCCTAGAGACCTAAAGTAATTTTGTTAGTGAACTGCACTTAGGAGCTCCAGATTGTCAGGATAGACCAAATGGTAGACCAGATGGAAGTTTTGCTCATGATGCAGAAAGTGAACATAAAGAAAAGTATCCCAAGGTTCTCAGAGAGGGACTTATGACTAGAAACTCATACGTTCAAATAGAAGATTCTTTGTTCCAAACTAAAATTGTTTTTTGGATGCTGAGCACTGATATTTCAAACCTGTTCTTGTTAACTCACTGACACTCACCAGAGTGACAGAAATATCACCAACTACTAAAACGAGTAAGCTCTGGAATTGAAAACATTCTTTCCTATACTAAACTGATTTTTTTCCTCTTTCTAATTTTCACTTTGTGTGTTCCTTAGGGCCATCCGTAATATGAATATTTTATGACATGTCTCTCCAACATTTGAAAGCAGTTTTCATGCACCAATGATGAGATTAAAATCCCATAATAATTAGAAAGTAATTATATCAAAGAGTTTATTTCAGATGGCAGAGTTATGCTTTTTCTGAAATAGAAAAAGTTCTTTTGCCTATATTTATGTATGATGTTAATTCCTAAAATATGATGATGACTTGGTTGATAATGCTACTGTATTGAGTTACTCATGATACTGCTTAAAGGGAGACATTTGTTGTGAGGAGCAGGAAAAGAAAGTGGGATCAGTATCATGAGGTAAATGTGAGGTATTCTTTCTCAAGTGTATGCAATATAGTTCTGCATGGCATTGTGGTTAGAAAGTTCATTGGTATTCTAACCATGAGTGAAACAGATCTCCTTGTTATTGCTGCCTATATCACCTTCAACCTGAATTGAGGGTGTAGGAAGAACAACCACAAATTTAATACCTGGAAAAGTAGAGTAGTCAACAATCCCATATGTTAGTTACAAGTATGGGGTGGCTAAAACTACATAAGCAAGAAGCCAGAGAGTGGAAGGTGGTAGAGCTATGTGCAAAGGAACAAAAGACCACGAAAGGCCATAATAGAGCGATCAGCCTGAGCAAGCCAGGACTGAGTTTCAATAGTTAAGACCTTGGCGAACGATACTCATAACACAAACTGGCCAAGAGAAACTAGCATCAAACACAGTCTGTTTCTGTGCATGACCAAAGCTTACCTATAAAAACGAAGTAAAGACTTAATCCTTTGCCCATACCCAAAGCTGTTTTGAGACAGCAGCCATGTAAGCTGCTTTTAAGAGACGTGGTATTTAGAATGTTTTGGGTGAAGGATGGAGTCCAAGGATTCTCAAGGTTGTGGA